GGTGTGAGCAGCGCGTACATGTTCCAGACGAGCGACGACGAGGCGCTGCCGGCCATGACGAGGTTGGGGTACACGAAGAGGCGGATGACGCGCACGGGGTTGAGCATAGGGCCCAGCACACGCAGCTTGCTGCGCAGCGGGTAGCCAGCGAGACTGTCGATCTTGCGGTGGTGGATGGTCTCCGGAAGCAGGGCCAGGGTGCCGACAAAGGCGGTGCCGGCCAGCGCGGCCTGCAGCCAAAGGATGACGCGCCACGACTTGTACGTCACAATGATGCCGCCGACAAAGGGGCCAAAGGCTGGGCCGACGAGCGTACCGGCCATGAACCAGCCCATGGCTGTGGCGCGCTCAGTGGGCCGGTAAATGTCACCGACGGCCGCCGAGCCGACCAGGATAAAGGCTGTGCCCTCAAAGGCAGACAGGACACGGAACACAAAAAAGGCAGCCAGGTTCGGCGCGAGCGCAGTGCCTAATGTGCAACAGAAGAAGAGAAACGACGTGGCCAAAGTGATGGGCCGGCGACCGTACACCTCGCTCAGCGGACCCCAAACGGTCGGGGACAGGCCCATGAACAGCAGGTACAGGGCGTTGCTGATGTCGACAATGGAACCCGTGCTGTGGAACTCGGCCGCAACGTCGGGCACGGCCGGCAGCACAGACGTACTCGAGATTGGCGCCAAGAGCGAGCAAAACGACAACAGGGCGACAATAGCCATTTTGCGGCGCGGCGCCAGACGGTCGTAGAACTCGTCGGGGATCTCTACAAACGACGACCAAGGCTGGGCCGGTGCATCGGGGCCAGCAGACGAGACGTGGGTCAGGGCAGACGTCAGCTGCACCGGTGTCTGCGTGGTGCCAGAGGCACCACTGACTTCCATGTCCTCCGTCTTAGCTGCCGTCTTGGTGGCCTGTGATCGTCGGACAATGTTCGTGTCGTCATTGTCATGGTCGTTGTCGTGGTCGGGCTGGACGGCTTCGAGGCCAGCGTTTTGTCGAGGCGAGGTAGAGGGCCCTGCGGGTTGTGAAGATGAGTTTATTTTACGTTCTGTGGTTGTTGTTTCGTTTGTCTTCTCATCGAATGCCTCTTGTTGAACACTCCGCTCCTGGCCTTGAACATGTTTGTCATTTTCTTCGACCATATTGCGAAGACAGTGGCTGAAGCCTTTCGTACGATGCGGCAGTGGTCGAGCGTGAAGAAATTATGTACTCGTGAAAGAAGATGCCAGCTAGAGGAAAGAGTCTGAGGAACGGTATTCAAAGTTGAGTATGCCAAGGCAAGCCCGCGTTGATAAAAATATGCGGAGATGCCCGGCGTGGATTTAGGTGGAAGGTTACCAGGACTGGATTGCAATCAGAGTCTGGGGAAGCAGAACGCCTGTCGAGGCGGAAACGTCATTAGAATGGCAGATGGGAATGGCATCCCTTTGGCCGATGGAGGAATTGAGTAGGACGTTGTGAAGCAGGACGATGAACGAAAATAGTAGGGAAAATTGAGACAAGGCAAAAAAAGAATTACGAGTTCGAGGAGAATGAGGCAGAAAGTGACGAGTGAGTCTTTTGGCACCTGCGACAACGACACAAAAACGACATATCTCAGACGACCAAAAATAGTCACAAGAAGAGCAAGAACCAAAAAGCGGCCCGTCCTTTAGAGAAACTTTCTCCGTTTTCCCTGCTAGCTAGCCTCTCGCACACTCGTGGCTCCTAACACGGCGGATCGACGGTGGGCCGTTCTGCCGCATCCCCGGTTCTAATCCGGTCGACGGCCTCTACGCTGTGCTGGGCAAGGAAGGACAAATCGAGCCCTAGTTAAAAAACCCCAGGCAAAGTGTCAAAGCAAGGCCGAAAAGAGCACAAACAACGGCTCGCCAATCGTCACCCACAATGGCTCAAGTCGCCTTGGCAAACACTAAAAGCGAAGCCTCGGACTGGTGCGTCCGCTCCGGTGTCCATCCGACAGAAGGGCCAGCAGTCAGCCATACAACGTGTTGGAGAAATACTCCACACGCCGTGCTGATGCACGACTTTGGTTTTGGATGTCCTTGGACGGGCCAATTGCCGACACGGCGCCGATGTACCTCCTTATTACTTTTCCTGGTTTTACTGCTCTCGTCCTTCCAGCGAAAACTGCGAGACGGAAACAGACAAGAAGAAATTGTTCTGCTTCCACCTTTTGTATATCCATTGGACCTTGGACCGCTCCAAAACAGAATGGAATTTGACCTTTTTCTTTTCCGCTTGCTTGTCCAGCCAGGGCGACCTCCGGGCCGAAAACCGGCGAGGCAGGGCCGATCCGAGTGGAGTAGATGGCCAAACCCTCTTTTTTTTCGCTTTGAACTATACCGACTGCCGATGTCCTGCATGGTGCCTTGAATACGGAACAGCTAAAGCCAACGCAGTGCATGGAGCCTTATGCCGTCCAATCTTACTCGCTTGTCGTCTGTCGTCCTGTTTGTCACCTTAACAAGTACCGCAGCTCGCTTCTCTCATCGTGACTCCTTCGGACAAGGAGCCCGCAGTGTTACAGTACAACGGCTGCAGCCGGCTCCAGTCGATAGCGCCACGCCATTCGTCCATTAAACTATTATGAACCTGACTCTCACATGTTGCAGACGGGTAGTTCCTCGAATACTTCTCGTCATTCCATATACAAAAAGGTATGAAATCCCGAAGTGGCTTTCGTCCGGTAATGGATATCCAATCTTTATTGCGTCACTATGCCCCGTTGCATCACAGTCTCCATTGCCTTACCCTTTCTATTCCCTTTCCTCGTTTCCATGCTACCCAAAATAGCTGTTGCCCTGCTTCACCCTCCTTACATCTCAAAATCCCCCTCTATGAAAACAGCACCTCGCCAGTGTAGATCCGGCACGACTGCGTCTTGGAGTCCTGCGTCCAGGAGAGGGGCACCCTCTGGCCTGTCGGGTCCATGGCGGGGTACGCGTGGAAGGCGTAGCTGTAGCCGTCGGGGAACCGCGGGATCTTGTAGATGGACACCGGCTTCGTCCACCCGCCCGTCAGCGACGTGCTGTGCGACAGGTAGAGCGAGTCGTCGACCGCCGCCGCACCGCTCTGGAACAGCATAATGTACTCGTTGTACACCGGGCTCCACCAGATGTCGCCGGTCGCGGGCCCATACCACTTGCCAAACGCGTCGAGCGAGAAGTCAAGCACGTTGGCGGCGCCGCCGTCGTCGAGCGCGGGCATCTGCGGGCCAAACTGCTGTCCGTCCCAGAACTCGTACTGCCGGCGGTCGGCAAACGCCTCGGGCCGCACGCGCGCCAGCTTGAGGCCGTTGCTTTTGTGGTTGGCGGCCTCGGACACGCGGCCAAACAGGTACAGGTAGCCGTCGCCCCCGTTGGGCATGAGGTCCGGGTGGACGATGCAAAACGAGCCAAACATGGGCTCGCCGACGTTGAACAGGTTCTTGACCGGCCGCGACACGACGGGCGTGCCCGACTGCGCGTCGAGGTGGATGTCGATGGGCGTGTTGTACAGCAGGGCAAACTTTTGCTGCTTGAACAGGTTGCGGTCAATGACCTCGGTAAAGGCCACGCCGCGCGTGCCGTTGGTGCCGGGCAGCGGGGCAATGTTGTGGTTGGGCCAGATGGCCGTGGCCATGGCGGACTCGCCCTGGTCGGTCAAGAACGGCACCGCCTGCTGGGGCCCCTGCGTCGCGTTGCCGAAATCCGTCACGCGCGTGAGCGTAGGCGGTCCCGACACAGCTCCGTCGCCAGCAACGGCAATCGAGTTGGACACGAAGCTTACAATGCGGCTCGGGTCCGTCGGCGGTTGGCCTTTTGTGTACATGCCGTCGGCAAAGATGATGAGGTGCTTGCCGCCGACAAAGCCACCGCCACCGCCGTCGCGAAAGACATGCGGGAAGTTCGACTGCTGCAGACCACACGTGCGGAAGCTCGTCGTGATGTTGTCTACCTTGACGGGCTCAGACGGGGGGCCGGGCGCCGGTGGTCCCATTGGTTGCTGCTGCTGTTGGTGCGGGTATTGACCACCACTCTGCCCTCCCTCGTGATCATGGACCAAGCCCTTGGCCTTTTCTGTCGCTTTCTTAATCCAATCCATGTTGTATGAGTGTCTTCTGTGCTGCTGTGATTTGTTGCTTTGCTGCGCTTTGAACAATGCTTTTAATGGAGCTGAGTGGTCGAAACCTTAGGGCGTGCCATTTCTTATAGCTGAATATGCGATGACGTATGCGGGGGACCGCCAACAGCTGGAGACAGTGCTTAACATGTGAATACTGTGCTGAGCACATGCTTCATTTGTCTAGTCTGTTAACAACATCAGCTGGCAGCTTGTATCGTGTCGTTGAAAATCCGGTAGAAATTATTGACAGACATGACTTACATAGGATTTCTCCCGCGTCACTTCTATGCCATCTTTCTCAAGATCGTTGCTGTTGTACAACCGTACGTTGTAGTTGTCAAGGAAGCTTCCCCACAGTGCGGAAAGAGGAGTTGCAAGACAAGCTGAACCTCGACCATCGACACAAATAAGAATGCAGAGAAGCAGATATAGTCGTGCGGGAAAAGAACCGTTTCGGTATTGAAATGCAAAAAAAAAAATCAAAAACGATATATACTCGCACAAAATAAAACCCAATGGTATAAAATAACGCAAAATGTGACCAACAGAAAGAGAAAACTTCCAAATCATCCTCTGCAGCAACTCCAAGCTGTTCTCGGGCCTGAGCCTTTCCTGCATCTTTCCAACATCATCTCTGCCACCTCCTCATCCCTTTGGTCCAATATAACAAATCGGTATCGTCGCTCAGAAAGGAAGTTTGAGAATTAATGGAGTCAACCCAAAGCAAGACCGGGCACAGAAATCCTACACTGCTTCCAAATCCAAAAATAAAATAAAAAAACGTCAAAAAGCTCCCCTCGTACAGTGTTGTAAAGTGTCACCAAAAAGTGAAATCAGTGAAAATGAAAGAAAAGGAAAGGCACAAGGACCCTCTCTTGACAACTGTCCGTCCGACCTCAAATAGGACTCTGGGGCGTGCTCCGCACACCACTCAGATCACCGCTGCCCGTCCGTCGGAGCGCCTGCGACATGGTCTCCACCGAAATCTCACCAGCGCCGTTGCCGCCACCAGCGACCTGTAAGAGCGCACTGCCACTGCCGGTGCTAATGGCGGCAATCTTGGGAGACCGTGTGGGAGACCCGAGAGCCTTGCTCGGAGCGGCAGAGGGGTTGCGCTGCGGAGACAGATCCAGGTTCTTGACCGAGCCGCTCTTGCTAGCAGGTGGGCTCGTGCCGAAGCGGTCGGTGGTGGTCGGCGAGCGCATGGGCGACGGAGAGCGGTTGATGGCGCCGCTGAGGGCTGCGAGACTGGTCAGGCCCGCCAGACTGCCGGGACCGGCGGTGGCCTGCTGTTGCTGCTGCTGCTGATGCTCGGCCTGCACGACGTCGGCAAACGAGATAAAGCTGAGACGGCGCACATCGGTGGTGTCAAAGGAGCCGTAGTTTGAGGCGTTGTCGTCCTTGTCAGACACAAAACTGCTAGCAACGTCGTCGACCCAGGCAAATGTGCCGCTGGCAGCAGAGCTGTTAACGCCGCCGCCGCCGCTGCCACCACCACCAGCTACAGCAAGACCAGCCGGCTGGTGGTGTGCATGGGTAATGATCTCGACGGTGTCCGGGTCGAGGTGGCCGTCGGTAATGGCCTCGGAGGAGGCGTCGAGGACGGGCGGAATAAAATTCTCGGTGGTAATGTGGGAGGGGATGGCAGGGGAGCCCGGCATGAGCACGCTGTTGTTTTCTTGAACGTCGCGCTCAAAGATCTGCGAGCCGGCAGGCGACGACATGCGTGGCGATGACGAGAGCGCAGCAATACTACGGCCGGGCGAAGACGGCGGGAGCACGTAGTAGCCACCATAATTGGATCCGCCGGTTGTGGTGCTGCCACCAACGCCGCTGCTGGTAATGCTGGCACTCATGGGGCTGAAGTTGTCGGTCAAGATCGGCGAGGTGGGCTTGCGAGCAGGCACGTCCTTGGCGGGCGGTTTTGGTGCGACCCCGGTGTTGGACAAGCTGCCCGTCTTGGGAGGAGGCGGCGGCGGGGATTTTGACAGAGTGGGTGGTGGCAGGGAAGCGCCGGTGGCTGGAGAGGTACTGGCTGCCCGTGCTGCGGACGCGGCGGACGACGATGTGTCTGCTCCAGCGCCTTCGACCTTATTCTTGCCGAAGCCGAATATGCTACGACGCTTCTTCTGCTTTTTCTCGTTGGAGGCGCTGCCGGTCACAGCGGTCGCTTGCTCATCGTGGGCAGTAGAGGAGGAAGAAGAGGCGGCGATGGGCTCAAACGGCGGCGCCAGTGTCTGGCTGTGGCTGCTGCCGGTGTTGGCCAATGGAGCAGAGCCGGAGAGACTCATTGTGAGGAAGGCTACTTTCTCGGGAAAGCGTGACGTTGAATGTGTGTGGCTGCCGGGAAGCAGTAGGTCTTTTGAGCCGTTCGTCAACGGCGATGCTATCGATCGTTCTAGTCGGAAAAATGTGTTAATCGGCGTGGACGAGAGCAGCGCTTGAGAGGAGCCGGATGAAGTCGAGGGAACAAACGGCGAGAGGGGGGATGTCGCGAATGAAAAATACGACGACACGAAGGGACCCGTGAAAGATAGGAATAGAAAGAGGGAGTGCAAGGAGCAAAGAGGGCGGAAAGCAGCTGTTATTTGCTCGTCGCGCTATTCGTGCTCTTGTGCCTGTTCCTGTCTCACTGCGGCGGCAGCCTGCTAGGCTGGCGGCTTTGCTTGCTCTTGCTTGGTTGGGAACGAAGGTTTGGTTGAGGTGGTCCAGGCCTGGATCACGGAGACACGGAGGCAAGGAGGGGTGAAATGATAGGAGCGACGATATAGCAACAGGGGGAGGGGGGAGGACGTTGTTTGTTCCTTTGGTTCCTTTGATTCCTTTGGTTCCTTTGGTTCCTTTGTTTCCCGGCTGAGAACGTGAATCACTTGACGGCGGGAAAAGGCAAATGGTAAAACGGGGGGAAGAGGAGCTTGTTTGATGCAGATTGCGGGAGGGAGTGCGAGGCAATAACAGTAAATGCACATGCAAGCGCAAATGCAAATGCCAGCTGCGATCGTACGGACCTTTTTCGTGTGGCTTTTGTGTCGTCTCGTTTGTCCCGTTTTCGTTTGTCCCGTTTGACTTTTGGAGTTGTGCTTGCTTCGCGGATGCCTGCAGCAGGTTGGTGTCGAGGTCGGTCACAGCTCTGTATGTGTTTGTCTGGATTTCCTATCGAATGTGGTCAGGGTTGTCGTCGTGCCTGTCGTCGTGTCTCCCGTGCCCGTCTTCGATTTGTGTTTGTTTGTTCGAGATTGTGATGTCCGGTTGGTCCGAAGACGTGATAGATTATGGAGTTTGTGGCCGTCGTGTCCGCTGTCTCCCCCTCTTTTCTGCTGTTGGCAGCGTTTTGTCTTTCTTGGTTTCGCAGTACCCGCAATGACCGTGGCAGGGTGGACGTATGACGCAGCTTCAGGGAAAGGGGGAATGGAATACGGAGAGCGGAGCACGACCCACGACCCAGGCAAAATGGGACCGCACCGTTGTGGATAACGAAACGAGCAGGGCCTGGCCCCCAATCAACGGTCGTAGCGCCCGAGTGTCATACGTGCGCGTGCCAGAGAGACGTCAAAGGTATCTTAAGTCAGGGTCGCCAGTCCACTAAAAGAAATGGGGCGGTTAACTGGTCCTCTGTCTGGCCGTGAGGCCGTGATGTTTTTTATCGGTTTGTAGCTTGACCGTAGGTTTGAGGCAACGCGAAGGGTGGGACAACGGAGCAATACGGCGTATCGGGGTGGAGGAATTAGGCCGTGGTTTGGTGCGACGGAACAGTCAAATGAAGTGCAAATTGCGTCGAGTCAAGTGTGTTGGTGAGAACGCAAAGTAGCGAAGAATGAGAGCGACGAAAAGAGTGAGCGCGAAGTTGGAGATTCAGACAATGACTACGATACAAATAGGCAGCGGTCGCGCCTTCTTAGCAAGGGATGAAAAGAGCGATGAGAGCGACGCAGCGAAGGGGGGAAGGAGCATACGAAGAAAGATTCACAACAGAAGGAACTCGTGCATGGCAGGAGCTGACCTATTACCAGGGGCGAAACGAGGACGATGACAGAGAGTGGGATGGCGACACAAAAGGCAGCACGTGCGACCCTGTGCGGCCACTAGGCCTATGACAGTCCACAGAAGGCGCTGGAACACCAGGCTCCTACCCTTCTGGGGGAAGCATCTTCGTCTACGCTGAAGATGCAGCTGCTGCATGATACGCATGCCTCCTGTCTTTGCACCGGACGATAATAATAATAGAGGTCACGGCGATGCGACGACCGGCACGGTGGATGTTTGCGGCTCAGTCGTCATAGGCTCCGTCGTGGCGACAGCCGTTTGGACCTGTCGATTATGCTGAAGAACGACTGACAGATTGCTTAGGTATCTGTATGTATCTTTCGCTCAGATTATGGTACGAGATACATGTAAATACTCGGCAGATGACCACTTGTGACTACCACAATCAAATGCACTATCAATATGCCGGCGACGGTTCCACCCAAACAAACATATCAACAGATGTTATGCTCCATACGATGCATAATAAGAAAAAACTAATATAAAATACATCAAACAATTGGGACGGTATCAGGGCACGAATAGTTTGAGGCCGACAGCCGCATTGACGACGGCATACGCAAAACAAACTAGTCGACAAAACGGACAGTTTTGAAACAAACAACCTGCTAGCCCGTTCCGTCTAATACTGGCATTATGCCCGCTTAACGAGTAAAGTAATTACAATAAAAAACCAGGGCTGACCAGGTCGGTTGTTTGTGTTGGTGACATTGCTGACGATAGTGGCGAAGCCCTGGCTCTTGCGGCAGTGTAAAAGAAAAGTCCTGCAAATTTTGACTGGCTCGACTATATCAAGGAGATCCTATGTAAATCGACAGGGGATACGTAATGAGGCACGGCAGCACTACCGAGCAGCCAGCCGGCGTGAACGGTCTAGATACAGTCTTGCGACGATACATTGGGCAGCAAACTCGGGCTTCGGCGACTGTTCTAGACGACGATCCAGAGTACTTTACAGATAGCGAGCACAGAGATACCCTCGTGTCGAGAGCATCCTATCATGGATGGTCCAGGCTTGCAGAGATGCATGTGTGCCCTGTGGCTCTGTCATTGGTGAGGCATAGCACTAAGTTACCTGGTCTCGACACCGCTCCGTACGCAGACTTTTGTTGCTTGCCAGGTCACACGGCGCATCGGACATGCGGTGGTACTGGTGTGCGGTGCATGTATAGAAATAACGCTGGACGGTTGAACGTCCCAACGCCCGTTGCCATCACCATAAGGTCATCCTTCGTGTCCATTGGGCCGCTGCCGTGGCCTCGACGTCGTACTCGGGACATTGTGCGGACCTTGCAGAGAGGACGACAAAATCCAAAGTCGGTGAACAATATTTCGTGCATCTCCCCGACCAGGGTTTTATACGCTATTTTGCATCAAAGGAGTCTCATCCTGGAATCATTAAGAGATCCTGGACCGGAAGGAAGGAAAGGGCCCAACAACACCATCGTCTGATAGCCCTATTTGCCTGGGCAGATCTACACACAGCCGCCTCTGATGCCTTATTTGCGGGAGATGGCGACAGGGTTTGGTTGAGTGGGCCCATGTATTCGGAAAATGAAAAACTAGAAACGACAAAAGTCAGGGCGATGTTGCAGGCGTGCAGCGGCGTTCTGCTTTCTTGGTCTGTTCTGGCCGTCAAAGTGGTGCTGGTGGGAGGTCTTCATTTCTTGTTTCAATGAAAGACAGGGCAAGAGGAAGCGGCATCTCACTCCGAGTCCCTAGTGTGAGTGAATCATCCGCCTCGTTTTGCGTCGCCTTTGTTTTCGTTTCTTTTTTTACCATCCATCAAGTAAGGAGATCGAAATATTCAGCGGCTGGTGATCCCACACCGTTTGCTCCTACCCCCAAGATCCTGTTTTCTTCTCCTAAGTTGGACAAGAAACCACGATAAGACGGTGACTTGGCAAGGGCTACAGCATTCTGCTATGGAGACGGTGTGTAGAAACAATGTGCCCGGTGCCTATTTCAGGCGAGGTGACCTGCGTCTTTCGTTGATACTGCAACAAGGTGGAAGAAGCCCTGCCAGAATGCTAGATCGTTTTCCTAGATCCCGCCGTTTAGTACGTTTGGGTCGTCGTCTAACAGGTTGGTTTCGATGGGCAAGAAAAGCAGGTCATCTGTCATATTATTTTCTGCCCAAGTCCTAAGATAATTTATGACGGGCAGCAAGGCAGGCAGTCCGAGAGGCGACCGACAGGTGACGAACAACCGGTGACGAGCACTCTTGTTGCTTCCTGACCCTCGATTTAGACCTGCGTTAGTGCCTCCAGTGAGGAGTTGCAGTGCGGAGCTGTCAAGGGGGACAAAATAGTAATAGAACCGTCAGGTGGTCGGGCATTCGCCCTCGCTTGGTCGGGCTTCCTTTCGGCAGGCGGCAGCTCTGGGCCAAGAAGCGAGAGGTACAGTGCAAGCGAGAGTGTAACATGCTGTCCAGAAGTCTCCACAAGCACCGGGGACGAGGAAACCTTGCTGACTGTGCCGAGTATGCATTGCGTCCGCCATATGTCGGTGTGGTGGAGTGCAGAAGGCACTGGTGGTGTGAGCCTCACCGACCCAATATTGCGGTCGTCAAGCTCTCGGTACAGAGTGCCGTGCGTCGCTTGTCCGCTTGTCCGCATGTCCGCATGCCGTAGTTTGTGAGATTGTTAGCTTTGCCGCCCAACGGAGACATTTAAACCCAATCAATCTGAAAAATCCCTGGCAGCCTCGCCTGATTCTGGGCAATAACAGGGGTGGCCTGGAATAAGTAGGTCAAGAGGTCCACTTCGAGCCAAATCGTATTAGTGTGTTAGCGCGATGTTGTACGGACAAAAGAGGACGGGCCTAGTCTGTCTCGTCTCTGTCTCTGTGTGTGTGCATATCTTTGCTTCTGGAAGCGATCTGCACGCGGCCTCGCGAGATTTCGCAAAGCAAAGATTCCTTCCCGGTTTAAGGGCGACTTGGATGAAAACCGGGTAAAGGTGGACGGTCATGAGCAATTGTTGATGCTGTTGATGCCTGAAAGGCGGCTACTAATACGAAAGAGGAGTGAAACGACTAAAATGAAATAAAGGGGGAAGAAGAAACCAGAAGTACAGTTTATTATTGTCTGTAAGATCAGGATATTGTGGTAGATCCAATGGCAGCATTCACGCCCAAAGACGGTATATCGTGTGCAAGAAATGTGCCAGTTACGTCATTCTTGGAGCCAGAATTACCCACCTAGGCATGCTTGAAAATGCATATACGGCAGTAAATTCCCGACCTGGGCCAGAGAAATAAGGCGACATAAAGATTCTAAGAGAAATATGATTGGAAATAGAATTTGATAAATGGAAAGCAAAAACAAAAATAAAAAAGCATTAAGAAAATACAAACAAAAACAAATAGAAAGTGGTCACATCTCGCTCTCGCACGTTACGCCTCAGCTGAGTAGTCGGCTGCACAATGTGCAAGAACCTCAGCCTCGTGTCTCTGTTGCTCTGCATCAACGGCTGCGTGGACGGGGAAATCCACCGTATACACGGAAATAAAAGCGCCGTTTTGAGCGGGAATGGAAGAATACAAATGCGCATTTTCAAAAGTCCCAACACACATTAGACTAAGCGTGGCCCAAGAGCCGTCAACAAAAGCCATCATTGGCTCTCTGCGACATCGTGTAATTTCGTAAATGGTGGCCGGGTTGGCCAGGAAAAAAAGTTGGCAGCATCCATCACATTTGTGCAAAACATTAACCCAAGCTTCTGCAATGCTGTTGTGCATGCGGTACTTTGCCGCAATGTTGCGGCCCACACTACCAGGCGTTTTGAGATGAAAAAGCGGCGACAAAATTGATACCCATTCCCATTATTGTGTATGAAGAGGTTCTGTCATGATAAGACCGATGCAAAGCTTTATAAATGGCTGGACGATGTGAAGGAGAGTATGGTGAACTAAAATCTAAACAGAAAAAAAAAAACAAGAAAAAAATGAGGCGAGGCCCCAGCTCGGCCTTCTCCTTATTCCTTTTCTTCCCTCTCCCCCTTGATCGACGAATAATGTTGGAACGTGATGAAATGGAGCCCAGCTCCAGGATCCTTTTTGCTGCTATTATGATATGTCCTTAGGATGGTGTGTACCTGTCTTTATAAGTCCGGTCATTTCAACCCAAAGCGCACTCCCGAGCCCGCCCAAGTCAAAATGGAAATAAATAGAAGTAAATCGGGGGCAGTTGGCATCGGCAGTAACCACTCTAGGAAACTGGCGTAACGGACTGATTCCGCACTTGGTGTATCAGTGCATCACAGCATGGTATGGATCCATCCTGGGAGCTATTGTTCAGGATGCGCCGGTCGGGCACTACTTGTTTTCTGTTTCCAACCGCGGCTCCCGAATTCTGGACCGTTCTTCTCACCTTCCGCATAGTTCTGGATCCAGAAATGCGGTCGTGAGGCGGCACCCCATCTTCTCGTCTCCTCATCTGCATATATAAGGGAGGCACCTCCTCACTCAAGTCCCCGTCCGTGCTGAATTCACCTCGCATGCCCCAGAAACTCTCTCGTGTCACTCTAATCTACCTTGCATTACTTTAATACAACTGCTGCCATTTTCTCTCGGTGCAACCCGACATCTCCTTTTCGTTCCTACACCGATTTACTATGAACTACGACTGCTCTTCACCGCCTTCCTACTCTCAAGGCATGAACAAGTACTGGATACCCCACAAAGATATTCACAAGAAGGTCATCACTTCACACATCCAGTTCTACCTGGGATCCGATGCCACAGTCAGGTCATACACAAAAGATGTAAGTCGTTTTCTTTCTCCGTGGACAAAGCAGATAGTTCCTCGGTATTGACAAACGTGTCTCCTTCAGGGCGAAGATGGCTTCCTCATCACGACACCTGGCGAATGCTTGACAGATGTCAGTGGTGTCCCTTCTTTCGCGGGTATTCATACGACACCGCTAACACGCTCTCCTCCTTAGGAACAAATTGACGACCTCTGCAACAAGTCCATGGAGATGTGGGAGCGCCAGGCTGCCGCCCGATCCTTGGCCGCCGCGGACGGTTCTTCGTCATCCTTGTCCATCTCGCCCAAGGCACCTCTCAAGCGCCCCTTACACCAACCCGTCGTCATTGCTCGGGCCGGTGGCAGACGGTCGTCACACTCGAAATCACACACACACTCGAACCGCAGCTCTGCGTCCTCTTCGTCTTCTTCTCATCATCACCACGGCCGGCACAGCCACAACCATAGCTACTCAAGACAGCAGCAGTATTTCCAATATCCACAGCAACAGCAACAGAGACAATTGCCACGGTCACAACAGCAACACCAGCATCACAACCACCAAGAACAACAGCAGCAGCAACAACACCATCACCAGCAGCCCAATCCACAGCAGTACCGGGGCCCACAAAACCAACCCTACATTCAACAGCACCAATACTACCCGCAGCCGTCCAGTACCCAGTCACAGCAAGCGGTACAACCGTGCCACTCTGGCTGGGAGCCCCTGTCGCCGACCCTTGACAGTGCAGTTTCTGAAGCTGAGAGACTGTATTAATGGAGGGAGATGCATAGAGGTTTTGCACACGCGAGGTTAGGTGGTGATACTGGTGGTGTTTACGGTTATAGTATCTCATGAGACGGTATACTTTATTATGCTCTACTCATCTCTTTACGATTGACTTGTCTTATTCAGTGATTCTACTGACAGAGTGGCATGGGGGAAGTACTGTGTTATTGTTATTGTTATTGTTATTTTTTTGGCCCTTCCTTTTCCTATCATCCGTTTTTTATGTATGCGATCTGCTTGTGAACTGATTTTCCTTTCCAACATGGAGCGGAAGTGGCGCGTTGTATTTTCTTCCTAAAAATGAAATCAAAATAAAATGAGAAGAGAGATAGTGGGAAAGAAGAGAGACCCGATGCTGACCATCAGAAGCTTTCACTTTGGGAACTGTTGATCGGCAAAGACCCCTCCAATGTCTGACGATGACGTCGCCAGAAATCTGCCCCAACTCGGAGAAAACACTGCAGGTACAGCTGGATAGGAGACAGCAAGAAGAACAATTATGGAGGAAGAGAACCATGAAAGCATGCGAACCGCAATAGGGGCCAGATGAGGAAGGGCTTGTCACCCTTTTTTCGTGCATATGCGGTGATGGTCTATCTGTATAAGCTGGGTCCGCCTTCGAAAACCAAGCAAATAAACGCGATACTTGGGTCAGAGGTTTCTTTTTGCCAGTCAACGGTTGCATCTCTTTTCGTCCTGACCAAAACTTCTACCATTTCGCTCATCACTTTCGCCCACATAGTCACATCATTCACATCGGCACTAGAGACAACGGAACGACGGATGAGACGGGTTGATGGGACGAGAAGGGGACGAAAAAGGGAAACAAATGTTATTGGTAGATGGCAAGGTGTAGGAAGACATTCCAGCAAGATTTCTATGTAAGGAAAGTAATAGTCAAGTAAATGAAATAACATTTTCATATTATGTATTCACTCCTATTTTGTAAATTAGATTTTTTTCAGTAAATTTTTTTTTTAAAACTATTCAACATATCTGATTAATTATTCATGTGCTTGTGGAGAGCAGAACAAAAGGTTTATATTTCTCTTAAACCCTTAAATTTATATAACGTGAACATTATGACAGCCCATCTCGTGATGCCTGTCGCGTCTTGTAACGCCGCCTTTAGTGACGGCACATTGACTCGTCCTGCCAGTCGCCTATTCCACCTAGCCCCCATAGAACCACTCAACTACAACCTGACCCAAATGGACTTCTCACTGTTTCATAGTCGTTGCATCTGGATCTTTCACCATTCATGGATATGATTGAGTATAGCCATCTACAAATACACCAACGTCATGGTGCGTCGCAAGAAATCCGATACGCTTCGCTTCATCTATAATAATGCAATGAGAAAATGGCCCAGAGGAAACAAATAAAACGGATGTTAACGTGAAAGAATAGAACGCCGTATGAAGACCTCGAGAACCACATGAAATAGCTCGTTTTTCGGCAAATCATATACCATAAGAAACATAGAGTAACCGTTTCGTCACGTCTAAACACCCGTCCCAGGGAAAGCTTCAGCCTTGCTCAGCACGACAATGCCCCGTTCGTGGTGGATGTAGCCCTTCATGAAATTCTGATGACAGTTAGCACGGGTAATGGGAGTTCAAAAGAGAGAGTTGGAGAGAGGGCGAGAGACACGGAGGGAGGATAGTGATATAAACCAACCTTGTAAATCATATTGGCCAGCAGGCACTCCACCTCATCCAGATCGAGGTCTGTCTGCTTCATCGCCCACAGACCCGCCGTAAAGTGCGAAATGGGTACCCGCGTCTTGCGCAATGGCGCCTTGCCCGGTTCCGTGGCCTCCTCGAAGCCACCCGCAATAAATACCTTACGCAGCAGGTTGCGCAAGCAAATGTCGCGCCCGCGTTCGACCGTCAGGTAAATGCGCAGCTTGATGAAGTCTTCCTCGTTGTCGTGCAGGACTTGACTAAAGGCTTCGAGGTCGCCCTTCTTTATGCTGGCCGAGAGGGGCCCAAATAGTGTCTGGAGTTTGGGGTAGGGCGCCAGCAGTTGTTTGCTGGGCAGGGCGTGAGAGGTGATGAGATGGCAAGGAATAAGGTAGGTGAGGATTTGTCTACACGGTGTTAGTGACAACAAGTCGACTGGAAAGGGAAAGGACCGTCGCCTGCATACTCTTTGTTTCTTGTGGCGTGCGTGTAGCATAGCTCGTAGGCTTCTGTAAGGTGTGTCTCTGCCTACAATGTGTCAGCCTTGGCCGTTGTATTGATTTTGGGGCGCGCACAAGTCCAAGAGCGCGCCGTACCTCTGCATAGTTTTCTTCGAGAAAGTATACGACACCCTCGTAGTACTTGAAGGTCACTCGCTGCGACCGGGGAAACTTGTCCAGCCCGGGCATGTCGCCCTTATACGCCGTCAGCGCCCGCAGAATGTTGCGCGACAGACTGGCCGAGTTGAGCTTGAAGTACGTCTTGAACAACAGGTTGATGAGCCCGTAGATACCCCATTTGCGCGAGTGGACCAGGTCCTGCGTCCGGTCGCTCAGACACAGCTGGAACAGCCGGTTCAGTTGCCGCGCGCAGTCTTCGAGCTGCTGGTTCTTCTCGCTGTCCGCGTCAAAATCGTCCTGGAAGGCCGCCTCGCCGACAAACGCCGGGCCAGTGGCAGAGCTGGACGCGTTGGCCCGCTCTTCGTCGGCCCGCACGGCAAAGATGCGCAGGTGGTTGCCCACAACGTACAAGCACGGAACCGTCCACGCCTCGAAGCCGTGGTTCGTGTAGCCGCGGTGCACGGCGTTGATCACATCTTTCCAGGCCTCATATACCCTCGTCCAGGTAGACACTGGGCCACTGCCGCGGCCGCTTTGCTCGTCTTCAACAAGCAGAATCTGCCCTAATGCCTTCCAGTAAGCATAGTACACATCTGTCCAGCCCATTACCTCGGCATGTCCGAGGCCATCGCTGTTGTTCTGGATCTTGCGCTTGATCACAGCCTTGGCATCATGGTGGTTGGCTCCATTGCAAATGTTCCGCAACCGGTACGGGTCGTCGGCCGGCGCCACGGGGGACAGTGTTAATGAGAGTTCGTTGCCGTTGTACCGCTGCATAGCCTGCCCAAACTCTCGGAATAGCTTGTCCATGTTGACTGCTGCTGGTCGTCTATTATGTTCTCACTGTCTTCAGGCGCAGTGACTGGGTAGCTTTGCCCGGCAGATACTCCACGCTAAGAGGTTAAATTTTAGCGTCTTTGGCGAGAAATTGTCCTGATGTATCTCGTAATCTGTGATCCGTAGTCCGTGATCTCAGTATAACGGCCAGTTGCGTCGTCTGGAGCCAGCTGGAGGACAGGGCATCAACACAGTGCACGACGGTGTATCCCACTTTCCCACGCCTGTCAATTACAGCTTTGAGCTCTTTTGCACATGATTGGCTAGCTTAGTCAGCATGAGATCCACTGTTCAGACTGGCTTGTCGAGTCGAATGAGCCTCTCTTTGAGGCCCACTTATTTCCCGGACACGGATCATAAGTTAGTCCGACGCACAATTTTGTCTGTCCTTTTGCGCCCACTAATGGTTTTCAAGCCCCAGAAAAATTCGGCAGCGCCCAATGAACACCACCACAGGCGGTCCACTGTGGTCTGTTTTTACCCTGTAGAAGAGAGAAACCCAAGAAGGGAAAAAAATTGCAAGGCGCGCCCCTCTCCCTCGGAAACCAAGACCACCAAAATTTTGACGACCACCAAAGCGTTTAGGAAAATTATTTTCAAGGTGAGAGACTACTCGGACCTTTCCCTTGCCATTCCATCCCATCAACGACGACACTCTTTTCGAACTTTACTGACATCCATTTTCTTTGCAAAGATGGGTAAGAACAAGTCTATAAAACCTCTACTTACGTGCATGTTACTTTGACGGCTTTTTCTTTCGATCCGACTTGTGTTTGCCCTCTGCCGCGACGGGAGACGACAAGATGTTGGGAGACACGGACGACGAGGACAACATTGACGAGCGAACCCGGAAACACTTGAAGAGGGCCACGATTGCGGGACGGACGTGCTGGACGATGCGAGGGCAGCATACTGCCGGCGGAACCTTAAACATGCCGTTGCAGTTTTTGGCCGTCGACGATTTTGGCCATCGGGAGATTTGGGTCTGACGGCATCCGTGATCGATAAATCGACAGGCTGGCGTCGCGACATAGATCTGTGGATAATGCGGGCGGCTTTAGAGCGATCCGAGTTTTGTCATGCGACCACGGTCATGGCCGACGTCGAAATTCTCATTCGCACCTTGCCTCGAATCCGATCCTCGGTCAAACGACAGCAGTCTCACGCCTCAACCGTTCCTCTCTTCTCGACAACGACAGTCGTTTCCCGTCCTTGTCCACCCACACAGCGTTGACCCCGTCGCGCAGTGCAATGACAAACTGAATCGAAAGAAGCTGGATAGAACGTTGCAGTGCTGTGATGGGCAGGACAGAATTGCTGACAATCTCCTCTGCAGGCCGTCTTCATGAGTACCAGGTCATTGGCCGGCATCTGCCGACCGAGACCAACCCGTCTCCCGCTCTGTACCGCATGCGCATCTTCGCCCCGAACACGGTCGTTGCCAAGTCCCGGTTCTGGTACTTCCTTCGCGGCCTGAAGAAGGTTAAGAAGGCCACCGGTGAGATCGTTGCCGTCAACGAGGTATGTGCAACTGGGAGCGATGGCCGTATAGCCGTAACAACAACACAACTCGCCCCGACACAGAACTAACACGCTCCACCAGATCTCCGAGAAGCACCCCCTGAAGGTCAAGAACTTTGGCATCTGGCTCCGCTACGACTCGCGGTCTGGCACGCACAACATGTACAAGGAGTACCGCGAGCTGTCCAGAACCGCTGCCGCCGAGTCCCTGTACTCGGACATGGCCGCCCGCCACCGCGCCCGTTTCCGGTCGATCCACATCCTGCGCGTTGTCGAGATTGAGAAGGGCGAGGACGTCAAGCGCCCATACATCAAGCAGCTCATCACCAAGAACCTGAGCTTCCCCCTGCCCCACCGCGTCCCCAAGATCCCGACCAAGAAGATTTTCAGCGCAAAGCGCCCTGCCACGTTTGCTTAATTTGCTTAGAAGAGACGGGGAGAAAGAAAGTTGGAGAGCACTGTATCTCGAAATTTCTATGTCCCTTTTTTTACTCCATCTTAGTTCTCTTTTGTGTCCTTTTACGGACCCCTGGCGGAGTTGTGCGTGTTTTTGGACTGGAAACAAAACCACCGAAAGACGACAAAGTTGAAGCGGAAGGAAAATAAAACATTTCAAACCTCTTTTTACAGCACAAAAAAGGCCAACATGACAATGGGACACCGACAATGAAAACAAAAGCTGGGTTTTGACGACGTGCTGTTAACATTGTGTTGGGCGATTGGGTGGTTTTTCTCAAGGGTGTTTCTCTCTATTTCGGCCACGGGACAACATGGTTCTTTAGCATTCACTTTCTTTTTTCTGTCCTGATGTCTCGGTGCGGAAACAGGCGGAAAACAAGAGAGTTGTGAAAACGAATAAAAACAATAAAAAGCTATTTAAAAATGAGGATTGTCAACCTGTGATTGTGTTTTGTAGTCCATCTGTTGTCGAGAAATACATCTCCAAGTCGGCCCTTTTCAGCTGATAACCCGATAGCCAAGACGTCACAATGAGGCGGTGGACGCTCCGGGGCTGACGATGCCATCCGGACTCTTCGATCACGGTCGGGTTATTCGTACGGATGGGGGCGGCGCGGGATGTCCAAGCCCAATGTGCGGCGATGTATTACGCCCGATGTATGAATATTCTGGCTATTGTGCAGGGGTATTGCGAAGAAATGACTCAGAGGCACGCGAACGGTGCACTTTCCACTCCGTTCCGTCACTCGGCGCTTGCTTGGACACAGTTTGGGTCCGGCACTTGCCAAACTAGGAAGCTGAGACGGGCAAGCGCGGAGGCCTGGACCGCACCTTTGACGCTCGATCTGCCAGCCGCATACATGCGACGTATAAAGCGTCTCCTTTTAAAGAGTTCACATAACGTATACCACCCAGCACGCAACTTCGTGTCGGGGAATTTTAGTTGAAATCAGTACCAATCCTACGACATATAAGAAGCATATATTCCCGCAAGTTGAAAACGAGTTCGTGTCTCATCGTCGCTGTTGCCTTTTGCTACGTGACATTCTTTCTATAAAACAAGAGGAAGACATACGCACGGAACAAACCGACCAGCCGCCAGAATGACACACGTCACCGACGGGTCCAAGGTCTTTGAGGACTGGGTTACCGTCCTCTCCACAATGCCCGCGCTCCCGTTGCCGCCCAACAGCCAGCGCGTCGCCTTTGAAACGGAGCGTCTCACCATCCGCCCGCCTGTCGAGGAAGACCTCGCCGCCTTGCACGAGCTGCGCACCCAACCCGAGGTCATGGCCAACACCAGACGCGGCCTCCCGGACGACGACCTTGAGTTCACCCGCGACCGCCTCACCCCTTTTCTACCGCCCGGCGACGCCAAAACATACAACTGCGTCATCTGCCTACGCGAGGCGGGGGACAACAAGCTGGTCGGCATGGGTGGCGTCCACAATTTCACCGGTGGGTTTGGATGGCCCGAGTTGGGCTACATGTTCCGCAAGGAGTGCTGGGGCAAAGGCTATGCCACTGAGTTTGTCCGTGGTTTTCTGCAGCTGTACTCGGCGTTGCCGCGCACTCCAACACCGGTACCGGTGCGGGTCGCGCGAGCCTCACTGCCTCCGGAGCTGGCAGCCAAGGCGGGCCCTGGATCCAAGGAGATGGTCGACGAAAGCTCCAACAGCCCGGCGGCATTGGCGTCCACGGTAACGGCAGACACGGTGGTGGTTGAAGAGATCCTGATGGCGATTATAGCAGATTTCAACAAGGAGAGCCTGCGGGTTTCCGGCAAGGCAGGGTTTGAAAAGGTCTTCCAGTTCACGGAGGAGGACAATCGGAAGCCCGGGACGAGCATCCAGATTCTTGTGCACTTTCTGCAGTACTTTCCCGGACGGAAGACACTATCAAATGCTGAAGCTTGAGAACGAAGCACCCGCTCCATGAATGGACATTGAATCTAGATCTGCACCTCGGCGTTCCTTTTAGAGAGAGGGGGATTTGGGGCTTCGTTCGTCCTGTTTGTACTTGGCGAAAGATGGAGATGACTGGTGGCTTTTGTAGCATAATACATTGTTTCAACCATATTGATAAGATATTCCGCAGCGCCCTGAAACTGCCTCCGGAATGTTCTGTCCACAACGCGCTTTTCTTTGAGTAGAATAAGGGAAGGGTTTGCATATTTCTCACTGCACCAGACTCACTGTCTCCTGAACACAGCTTCATGCTTCAGTCGTACAGCACCTCTCCTTGCGATGATCCCTGTTCTTGGCTAATGGCCTGTAGTATCCCGGGGTCATATGGCCGAGAAGAAACACGAATGCAACAAGGAATGGAGGAACTCAGAATTTGTATGACTCTTGAGGGCTACCAAAGCCATTAACCTTCACACATGAGGTCGTCGGAGGCCAACTGCTCCAACTGCTCACCGCCCCAGTTGCGGCCTGTTGCCAAACTGCCAAACAACTGAGAAAGCATGCAATAGCTGCCTTGGTTGTGGAGCAACAGGCGGTTTTCGGCCACAGCTCGCCTACCAACTTCACTAGTCGCACTTGATATCGCAGAAGGGGTTAGCACTGCCGCGGGATATTGCGTGCACTAATGAAGTCAAATCTCATGTGTTCCTGACGTTGGTGGTATGATGGCGATTCATTTTACTACTCGTCAGCAAAACGCTCCAGGACACTGGCACTTGACAGGGCAATTTTCCCGCTCTACCTGGTCTGACCGCCCAGCCGCTGCTAACCACCAAACGTCATGTCATCTTGGCTTCACCCTCCCATCGTCGATTTGTTGGTATAAAAGTATATCCTCCTGCCTCCTCGAACCTTGTCCCTCGTATCTCACCTTCCAGGCACTGAATCTGCGCACATGTGGCCTCTTGGCGCATTTGAATCACTTGTGCCGTTCCTGTCAGGCCAATGCATATTTGCGCAGTTTCCCCTCTCTTACTCGGTTTTCCCCACCTTTCTCGTGCTTCTCAGCCGTTTGTCGTGCTTGGCCATCTGGTGTCTTCCTCGTGCGTGTCAGCTTACACTCAACTGGCACTCAATCTTTGCAGCGGTTCGCAGACCCTCTTTTCTGCCTACTGGGCCTTCTTTCCCTTTTTCGATTTGCTACCATCGAATTTCTGAAAAGGGAAGGAAACAAACGGGGCCTTGTTTGTTCTCATGTATGTCGTAAACCTTGGGCGCTCTTTCCCTCCTGAGCAGCATGTCGTGCCTACTTCTTCCGTTGCTCATGCCCATCAGCCCCCCAAGGTGCCTTCCCGCAGCACCAGATGCTGTGGCTGCCTGCATGCGCTGCAAGCCTCCATTTTGCATCTGACCAACAGCCTACCACTCGACGAATGAGCTGACTGTGCCGCGCCTGCCTTTTTATCTGATTCGGTCCTTGATAGAATATCACCAGGCTGGTCTGCCGTTTTCTGCTCGTCTACTTCCCCTCTCTGTGTCTCCCGTCACTCTTCTGTTTTCCTCTTTCTCTTCCACATCCATGTCATACCATCGCATACCGAGCACCTCCCCACTGCCGTTGTCGCCGACGCCGCCGTTGTTGCACCCTGCATAATGGCGACCGCCTCACCGCCGCCCAATCCAGACGTGCCGCCCGATCCCAAAACTTACTATGGCTACCTCTTCCAGCCCGACAAGGCACCGACGCCGTTGTTCAACACGTTCTTGCGTGCAATGGCCCAGCATATTGTAAGAAACCTAGACTCTGCCTCCTCCTCCTCCTCCTTTTTCCTTTTTTTTTGTGTTGGTTGTTGTGATTGCAGCGCTGCGTGCTAGTCTAGATCACCACCGGACTATGAGCTCATATTGACACAACCTGCGCACTTGTCCAGATCGACAACATTGGCGACAAAACAGACAAGACGTTGTCGCCGCCCAAGCTAGCTGCCTTTTACAAAGCCGTTGGCCACAACTACGATTGTAAGTGCGCTCATGCACTCCGAGCACACAATCTGAACACGAACAGCTAATCATCTCGTCACTCATAGCTCTGTTTGTCGACTCACCGCACCAGTCCATTTCCTTTATCTGGCAGATCACTGGCTGCCAGCATTCTCTCCAGCCAACTGCCGACGACTTCGCCCCGCCTTCGATCCCTGCCCTCACTCCCAAAGGATTCGTTCGCTGGCAGTCTGTTGAGACGCTGCTTGGACCTGACGTCCATGTGCCATTGTTGCAGCGTGTCGCGAAAGAATGGGGTCTCGTGAACCCGGACACCGGGAAGCCGTTCCCCGCCGACCTCCCAAAGGAGGCCTTGCCCTCCTTGCCTGATGCGGAGGTCGAGAAATGGCACGACCAGTGCGCAAACAAGCTGCAGCGTGAAGCTACCATGGCCGACAAGGACGACCCGCCGTCACCCAAGACCACGACGAAACCGATCTTTACCGAGGGCACGTATTACTACTCGCGTTCTCGAGCAGGCCCCCCGCCGAGCTCTCCCCCGCCGAAAGCACGGGGCGTCAGCCCACATGGCAGCCCCGAAAGTCCAGGAGACTTAAATGCGCGAGCGTTTTCGTTCAACCACGCTCCACCTCGCTATGTGCCGTCAGGCATGTCAGCGGCTGCCACAGGGGCGGCCGCATCATTTGCCACGGCTGCTGCCGCTGCAAAATGGACTCGGCATGTCCGACTTTCCCCACCAGAAGATGACCGGCGCAACACACGCCGACGGAGCTTCTCAGACTACCCGCCAGCTGCTGGGCCTGGCGGAGCCAAGATGCGGACACATTCACCTCCGATCCACTCTAAAAGTCAGATGAATATGGGTGGCACTTATGTACACCGGCCACGGCGCCACAGCCAACCGCACCACCACCACTCTTCATCGAGTGACTCAAGCGACGACGGCGATGATGAGTTACCATCCATAAGAGCTAGAAACGCCCGCCGGTCTCGCCGGCCCGACGATCCGCCTGTTATCTCTGTGCGCCGGATGTACGCTCCACAGGGCCCAACAGTCCTCCCCGACACCTTCCCGCCGGGGCCCATGCCATCGGGCAAGAGGGAGAGCTCGTCCAGTGGCGCCGACCGAAGACGGACGGAAGAGCGTATTCCAATGCCACCTCAGGGCCGTTCACCACATCGGTCTCCCCATCGCAACGATGAATCTCGGCCAAGGCTTTTTGGTGCCGCAAGCGACATACGTGATAAGCTCTCGACCGTACTACCAAACGGCATTCTCGGCGCAGTCTCGAAACCAGAGCGGCCGCGCAGTGCATCACGGTCACAACCCCGCAACGTCGGTCTGGGCGCCGTTCCACTTCGGTATTCAAAAGAGAGCTTGCAAGGTTCACGCCTTGCAGGCCGGAGTTGGTCGTACGACTCGGATGAAGGTGATGGTGCATCGGTTGGAGGCGATCGACGGCCGCCAAGAGACAAGGACAGGGATCCGCGCGACCGTGACCGCGATCACGAGCACGACCGTGATCGGGCGCTGCGACGGGATCAAGACGACGACAGAGACTTTATGGGCCGCCGCGACCGTGAACGGGAGCGCAACCGTGGCGACCACGTTGAGCGCCGCCATCGGTCACATGAGAAAGACCGTGATCGGGACCGTGATCGAGAGCGGGAGCGGGATCGAGATCGAGATCGTGACCGTGATGTGCGAGACCGTGGCCGAGACCGCGACATGAACCACCGTGAGCGTGACCGAGACCGCGGAGACCGTGACCGGGATGCAGTGTACATACTTGACCGCGGATCGCGTGATACACTACGGGAGAAGAAAAAAGCGAAAAGCCAGGACCGAAGCCGGGACAGAGAGCCGCGGGACCGTGATCTTGACCGGGCCGACCGCGACGACGACCGAGACCGCGACTACCGGAGCAGCCGGCGTGACCGCGACAGGGACCGGGACCGGGACCGAGACAGAGAGCGTGATCGACACCCGTTGCGGTCGGAGCCTCTCAAGCGGCCTATCAGCGCCGTAGATATGGACCGGGAGCGGTAACTTGGCCTTGAAAAGACCGCGCTTCGGTCCCTCTGTTGCCTAGTCCAGGCAAATTACGACCATTTGGATGATGTTATTTGGATTGTTGGATTTTTTTTTTTTTTTTTCTACTCTGCACTTTGCACTTTTCTTCTTGGACATATCACCTTTACGACTATACGAATCCCGGCACAAACACACGTTGTATTTTTCTTCTTTTTTGATTGCTCTGCCAACTTGATCCTCATGACTGTACGACTTTATTTTTTTCGTTTGAATTTTCATTACGCACTTCTTTTGGCTTTTAGTACATGTAAAGCCGCTCTCAAAATTCACCAGACACTGGTAGCTTCATTTTATGCCTTCATTGGATACCGTGCTCTGTCTCTACACTTTGTTTGGTCGTGTCGCGGGCCGCCCGCGCTGGCACCGTCCGGGCCAGTATGCACTGTGAACACGTGTGTTGATTTCGTACATCACCGGTCCTGCCTGCGCGGCCACCATCCAGGCCGTGCCCAATTGTTTGTAATAATTTCGGGAGCCTAGTTGAGCCACGTAAATGCCAGCCACCAAAGTCCCCCGCCGGTCCGTCCTGGCGTGCCATATATTTGCTGTCTCTGCTTGGTTACGGGCAAAACGCGTCCTCAGTTCATTCATGCTGCCGGGGTCCAGGCGGACGCGCTTTTGCGGTCGATCGTGAGCTCGGCCCCGTAAGAAGCAGTCGACAGGGTGTTTAGATCCGGCCTCCACCAATGGGAGGGCGAAAGCACGGACGGGCAAATGTGAACAACATGTGAAGGGTGAAATGAAAATGAAAAGAGCAGGGAATACAATGTGGCCCGTATGACGCCCTCCCGTGCCATTCAAAAACCCGGCCGGAATTGGTTGTCAAGTCCTGCATGAAAAGAACAATACAGCGATCCGGCCTGTCATATTCGCAGCGCATCCTCCCTTTTCTTACTTCGTAGGTTTTAGAATACATACTCTCGTCAATACGATTTGATTGCAGCGGTGTGACAGCGTAGTAGAGTTTTCTAAGCGTTTGGCTCCTCCAAAAGAGGCGGATGAGGCATGTCACTCGATTGCATAAGCAGAGAGCCGCTTTGTGGAATGTGCACTTTTTAGAGATGCATCGCCAGCCAGCCCTTTTGTTTGCGGGGCGGATGGCAGCACCTTGCATATCTTTCCAGAAAAGATCTCCTCATCTTAGCATCATGAGCTTGGCGCATGCAAATGAAAGGAAAAGAGAAAAAAGAAAACAAAAAATGCCGCTTTAAAGGCCGTCGACGGTGGCCCTGTTCTTGTTCCTGTTCTTGTTCCTGTTTTTTCCTTTTCTTTTTTTTTCTTTTCTTTTTTTCTTTTCTTTTTGCATATTCACTCGGGCCCCGCCAACAGGTCGCTCACCAACAGCAGGCCACCGAAACAGGCGACCCAACACGGGCATGGGATCGCAAAGTAAGGGACAAGAGGAACGTACGAAGCAGGCCGAGATTGGGGGCCATTCCTTTGATTTTGATTGCCACACCTGGTCTCTTTTTCTGGCCAGTGCTTATGAGTTGTTTTGTTGATTTGGCTTTTATGTGTACCATTGAATCGCTGGGCGCAATGCATTCGATTTGTCGGTTTCGTTCGGAAATCTCCAAGCTTGTGTTCTCTTTGATTCTGACCATCGTCACCACCCGATACTTTGCGAATGACTCGTCAGCAAGCTGCCGAAGTTCGCCAGTGTTCCAAAAAGCGTCAAGGCGCATCGGATGACAACACTCCAGTGAAAGACCCAATGGCTTGCTTCTGGACCTGATCCTGCCATTTTGGCCTGCACATTATCACCATGCGGCCACCTGGAGAGACCCAAACGAAACCACAAGACCAAGCGACCAGGTCCGACTCTGGAAACCCGCGCTGCGAGCTCTGATTTGCTCGTCCGCATAATACGACAATCGTTCTTAGTCGAGTGCTGCGCCTGTTCCAGCCAACCACGTCCATTCTCCTCTCTCCTCCTCACTGCGAGAGGCCCATTCCGGCCGGCCTAATGCTTGGGATGCTGGGAAGATGCGACATACTTGCAGGCAATGTATCTCGGAGGGGGCACCAGCTGTATACAATATAGACACGACGTGCTCTGTATGAGCTGAATTGAAGGTTACCCGACCCACGGCGTCCGTTTTCTGTTAGACGCAAACAGGGAGAGCAAAGTAAGGCGGGCACTTCTGCATATCATTCATGGTATTCCGGATTACTGTGGGCACCCCACTGTAACCTTTTGGCCCGAATAAGAGACACAACGACGGATCCAAACGTGAAAAGAGTCAGAAAAGAAGAGTACAGGGAGCTGTGGGGGGCAGTTGGTGGGTGTGGCGCTCCTGGGTCGTTTGCTCCGTTTCTTTCGCTCTTCTCCCACTTCGTGATTGCATCCCATTCTCTTTGTGACATTGTGACATGTCTCTCTGTCATGTATGTCCTTTTCCTCCAATAAACTGGGTGGCTCGGGCCATCTTTATTTATTTATTTTTTTGTGCCTTTTCTCTCTTAGTTACTTCCCGTCTTAGAATGGGCGATTTGGTTTCGTTGTTCCCCTGTCTGCCGGTCACTCCTTCCCAAATCGTTTGGCTGCTGCTCTTTATTCTGCCCCTCCTCGCACTACTAACCCCAGTCCTCCTACACGGCGTGATGCTTAGCACAGCGGGACCCGCCCAGCCATCACTCACGCCAGTCCGTTAGTCGTGACCACAGACGGACAGCGGAGAAAGAGACGAACGCGGAAGACGTCGTAGTTGTGATGGCTTTGCAGATGCGCAATCAGTGTGGTGTGGACTGTGTCCGTGCCGATGTCTCTGTTTCTCTTTTGTGTGGCTTCGCTCCTTCTCTTTCTCCGCCCGTACTGCCGTACCTGTCGTACCTGCCGTAATTGTACCGTAGTCATTTGACAGGAAATCGTATCAAGGGGTGTGCGCTATCCAAGCTTGTGCATCCACATACGAGAGGCAGGGCGAGGAAGGAGCGACACGGACAACCAGGTAATGAGAGGGGGGCACAAAGACGAGAGGAACAAGAGGACGACAGATCCAGTTTTCGGTTGGCCTGCAGGCGGGGCACAACGTCCGTAGCAAAAGGAAAGGTAAAGGAAGTAAAAATGAAAAGGGAAAAAAGAAAAACATGTCAGGCCAGGCCCAGGGAAGGCCGGGCCAACTTGACCCAGGCCGCCGGCCTGAGAAACCGACCCAAGATGCGCTTTCCTCATTTGTTACCACTCCCAGCTCTCTTCTTTCCTTTTGTTCCCGTTGTTCCTTCCTTGGACGACATGAAAGGTACAACAAAAAGGGCCCATGCCACATCTTCCACAAGGATGCTCTTTCTCGATTCGGTTCTCGTCCTTGTTGCGCCGTAACTCCTATTTCTCCTTCGTCTCATCCTCTCGTTTCTCTCACCTTCTTCTTTCAGTTTGCCACTCCTGTTCTCTCCCTGCCATAGCTAATATCATCATCGCATACCCGGCCACACTACCAGACAACAAGGCCGCGACAACAATAACACGCAAGCCCATTCAGACTACCTGACCCATTCACGCCTGTCCACGACCTCCTTCCTCCCCCGCTTACTGAATGGTTCGAGCCAAACCTAGGCCAAACCCAAAGCTGGACGCCGTGTCGTCACTTGTCTTATAAGTTCGCCTAGGCTCCCGCGCAACCTCGTCACATCCGCACACACGCCGCGCATTCTCTGTTGTTGTCGTCGTGTTTCTATCTGCCTCCGCCACGCTTCGGTCGCTGTCGACCATTTTTGGAGTTTGCTTCTTTTTTGGACCGTATTTATATACCTTGACACAACCCACTCTCGAGATTCTAACACACACACTCTCTCCCCCCAACCTCCCAAGCTTCGACCCATCATAACAGGTCGCTCACTTCGCACTTGCACACCATCCATCGCCATTTCCTTGCCGCTACATTAAGGCTTTTGCGCCGCCTTACTAGTTCGCACACTCGTGGACCAACGGCCAACAGACGCTCCGTCACTCATCAACACATCAATACATATTGTTTTGCTCCAGGTCACCAGCTGCACACACCTGGCGTTCGTCGCCCGTCCGTCGCTAGTCGTCCATCACCTGTCGCTCGTTGCCCGAGCTCTGGCAGCCTAACCAAAGAGCCTTGGCTGGCTGACGCCTCCTGTGACAGACACCGAACGCCCATCCTCTTTCTCTTGCAGCCCCACTCTCTTTGTGCATAGTATTACAGAATACGGTGTACAGAGTACGAGAAACGAAAACGTTGCGCATTTCGCAGCTGCTGGTTTTCTGCTCTCCCCATTTCGCCCTCGGTTTCCGCGCCCGTGTGCACTTACACCGTTCCGTTGGCGTTAGCTCAGCCCATCGAAGTAGTGTCCACGGCTGCCCGGGACAAGCCAAACAGCATCCTTCACGCAACAGCGTCACTGGCCACCAACCAGAGGAACGGAGACGCAGAAATACGACAAAACGACGAAACGAAAAAGCAGGGCGAGCAAGGAATACAAAAGAAGAAAAAAAGTGGCGATCGCTTTGCAGTCCCATCGATACTCTCGCAACCCGAGCAAAACGCAAAGCGTTCCGACTTTCTGGCTTTGGCCCTGTTCCAAAATTCACCGCTCTTTGAAGTAGATGGGATTGCGGCCAAACACCTCACATACACACACACAACGATACAACACTCAGCTGTCAACTGCGCGAAATTTCCTTTCAGCTTGGTTCAGGAACGATACCTCACTTTTTGGTCACTTTATTTTCTCGTTCTTGCGTTCTTCTTCTTTTGTTATTCTGTGTTTTCAGTTCTGCCACTTCTCTTTCTCTCACTCAACTTACTCCATACACAACCTCATCCCTCGCTTCTCTCACACAATGAAGCGCCCTGCAATCGACCAGCTTGTGTACGAGTACATACTTCCACGGCCGAAGGCGTCCGACCCGCCTAACTTCGCTGGCCTACTTACTCGCTTTCTTGTTTTTGAGGTGCGCCAAGAAGTCCATTCCTTCTATGGCCACC